TTTGAGGCTGGTTTTTGTTTTCTTTAACTCTTGGGAGGCCGTGTGAAGCTGACCCCCAGCTGCCAGCAGCAGTGGGCTGGGAGGGGCCCAAGGGGAATGTTTTGCCAGCAGCCTTAAAGCAAAAGGGGCTCAGCCAGGAGCTTGCTTGGACTGGGGAATAGCCACCATCATGATTGAGTCCTGAGCGAGGGGAGCAGACTGGGACAGTAAATGTCCTTGTGGAACTCTCCCCTTGGCCTTTTGGGAGTGGGGCTTTTTTCCTGCCTGGGAGAGGAGCAACTTTGCTTTGTTTCCAATCCACTGCCAGACACTTTTGGAAGTGTAAGGACTCAGCTCTGCTTTGTGCTGCTTCTGGAGGAGTGACATGGGGACCACCTTTACCTCCAGCTCCCTGTCCACACACAGATGTGCTGTTCCTGACTCCAGGGAGGAGGAAAAACTTCATTCCTGCTGGCCCTGCCAAGCTGTTGTGGCTTGGGAGGAATGAGCTGACTTGCCTTGCACGTGCCTTATCAGCTGAATTGTTTTATAGGGCTTCACTGATTCCTGTCCAGCCAAACCCACTGTTTGCCACAGGCCATCCATTACAGCATTGCCTGATGTGTGAAACCATTGCCACCAGGAGTTATGTGTTAAGAAAAAGATATCTAAAAGAGCTTTGAGAGGGTTCTGAGACTGCAAACCCATTCTTGCCTTTTGCAGGGCTTTTTTACCCCCTTAAAATGAAGAGCAGTGGGATGTGAGTGCCTGACAATCAATCTTTTTATATAAAGTAATGGTAAGTAGTATTTGCTGTGCCTCTGGGGGCCTGTCTCTGCTCAACTTACCCCTTCCCTTCCCCTGCTGCAGTTGAAACCAGCAGCTGTGATAACAGCAGCTTGAAGATCATTGTTGATCCAAGAAATATCGACTGTGGGATGCCTTGTAGGGCTTTCTGCAAAGAGCAGTCAAGTGATCAGCATCTTTTCCCAAGAAACAAGCATTTATTTGTTCATGTCATTCCCTAGTTTTTGTAGGGGTTAGCACATAGCTCTGGCTGTTCAGAATCCCGTCCTGCTCATGGATGGTATGGGAAGAGGGAGGGGAAACAGTGCCCTGTAAGGCAGGATTCAGTACAGGAGACATGACTGCCTTGAGGAAGAGTTTAAAAATACAGACTGCTTTTGGGATGTCTTAAGCTCTCCAACGTGTGAGAACATCCAGACACCCAAGTCTAGCAGCACATCTGGTGCAAGCTGGCTGGTCTTTGCAGGAGTCTGTGGAACTGCGGTTTCACCCATGCTCATCTTGTCCATGGATCCTGAAGCTGGGAGCAAGGGAGCAGAACACCTGTGGGTTTGATTATGACCCATGGAGCAGCTTTGTATGAGGACCTGGAAGCTGCAGAAGTTTAAGCAGTGTAATAATAAAATTATCACTGGATGAAAGGGTGGATTTTGGCATTTTTTGGAATGGGAGTTTTTGGTGACAAGATGGAGGCACTTGGGTGTGTCCAGCCTTTCTTCTTCTCCTTCTCTACCTCCATCTTCTGCCGTGTTATTGGCACTTTGGGGTTGATTTAGAATAGGAGTTCACTGTCTAACATAGGTGATAGCTATTGGAAAGTGATTGTAAACATGTTATACAGAGTTCAGTCTAAAGAGACAGCGCTGCCCCGAGGGCGGTCAGAGTGCTGCTGACTGTCCTGCTGAGCAGACCTCAGCTGGACAGGAGAAAACTTTTATAGATAAGATATATTAAGCAACTCTGAGACCAAAAACTGAAGAACTGCAGTTCATTCTTTGGATGTGTGGGACGAAACAGAGACTTTGCTCGTATCTCGGGGCTGCAGTAACCGGCAAACTCCCGAGCGGTGCACACAGGGCTCTGGGGGGGAGCAGGAGCTGGGTCAGCCCTTGACTGCTCTTCAGCCCAAGGTGCCCAGTTCCCAGAGGGGTGACTGAGCTGGGATCAAACCCAGCCCACTGACTGTGCTCAGGAGCTTGTCATGGCAGTTCACAGCTGGAGAGGCAGGGCCCTCTGACTGAGCATCCCCTTGTTGTTACAACACTTCTGCTCTGCCAGACCGAAAGTGTGAATCACTTGCCTGCTCTGCTGCTGATACCCTGAGCAATCAGGCTTGTTGCTCTCCAGCAGAGGCTTCCTTTCCTTGTGGATGAAGCTATATCCTCTTGAAGGGGTGAAAGCAGGAGCAGAGGCCTGGCTGCAGTGGGAAGTGGTTGTGCAGTGTGTGCACCTCTTTTCTCTGGGGAGACACAGCCTGCAGCTCCCCCAAAAATGTGTCAGCTTTCCAAGGGCATCTGCCTGCTGCAGAACTGGTTCTGTTTGTGTGTGGAGGAGAGATCTAGAAATGTAATTTCTTTGGCTCTCCTGCCTCCTCCAGAATGTGTATCTGTGGGCCTTGTGCAGCACTGCAGCTATTTTCTGTGTCTGCTTTGCTCAGGGAGATGCGCTGCATCCTGGGAACACTGAGGGAGGTGAATGCTGGGGTTTGTGTTTCATCTCTGCCTGTGCCTCAGGCCTCGGATCTTTTCACCAGTGTTTTGATGTTTTGAGCAGATATCAGGCTACTCCTGTCTCCTGTTGTGCAGCACAGCCTGAGAAAAATACTTGGCATTGCAAAGTGCAGAGTTAGTTTTTGTTTATTCCGTTGTTGATGTTTGCCACTTGCAGATGAAAAAAAAAAGCAAGGGGAGGGGAATAAACCGGAGAAGGTCTGCAGCAAAAATAACTGACACAGATGCAAGGGATGAGTCTAACTCCTGTTCCTGCTGAGCAACTGATGATGAGGCAGTACTTGCTTTCCCAAAATATGTCAGGGAAAGAGATACTGGTGCTGTGCTGAGGGATGTTCAACACCCACCACTTTGTGTGAAGCCTGTGAGTCATGGGCACTTTTTGCTTTTGGAATCTGCTCTGCACTCCCTTCACTTGATCATAAACCCAAGCCCACCAATTTTTTTAGAAATACTAATGTTACAAATATTTACTTTAACCCATTCATGTAATACATCAATCCCAAGACCTTTCCCAGGGAAATCCCTGCTGGGGGTGAATGAGGTGATGGTCTTTCTGGGTGGTTATCCTTTACCCAGCCTGAGAGAAGGAGACAGCATCTCTTAATCACCTTAAGCTTCTGTGGTGTGGTGCTGGTGTGTAGTTCCCAGCTTACAGAGGGATGGAGGTGAGCAGGCTGGTAAATTGGCATTTAGCTGTGGACAAGCCTGGTTGGGATGCTGAGGGAAGGCTCAGGTGTCTCGCACAGGTGCCAGGCTCTGTGTGCCAGCATGGCAGAGAGGATCCCTTTGCCCAGACTCCTGGCGCAGACTGAGGCATTTTCACTTGGACATGTCACTTTACTCAGGGAGTTTTGGTATTTCCTTAGGTCTGAGTTTATTTTCATGACACTCAACCCAAACGTAACTAATTTCTCCCTGCAGTTGGTGCCTGGTCCATTGTGTTCTGAGGAGGGAAGTGGAGCTGCTCAGCAATTTTGCAGAGAGTGGGAAGTCCTCCTCTGCTTTTGATTCTTAACAACCAAAGAGTTGTCTATGTCTGGTCCAAAACCCACTTTGTGGAAAGAAGCTGGAGCTTGCCAGCGTCTTTAAACCAGTCTGAGGCTGCCCACGACTGTAATTTATTGTGGCCTTGGGGAGTGACTCCATTGGAAAGGTTTGGGTTTGGAGAAAGGTTCCAAATTAAGGACAACTAACTTTAGGAGAAAAATGTTGTGAAATAACAGCAGAACTGCTCCAGGTCTACCAAGTTGGTGGGGTTTTTTTTTGCTTGCTTGTTTTAGTGGGGACCTTGGCATAACCGTGACTTGCCAGGGAAGGAGGTATCTGGGTCTGGTTGCTTTTCCAAGCCTCTCTGTGGATTGCCATACAGCTGCTGTGGGAAGGACCCAAACACAAACTGGGGGTTGTGTCAAACCTCCCTTCTGCAAGCTTTGTGCTGCTCCCTTGCCCTCCACAGAGCAGCTTTGAGGTGTTGGATGTTGTCAGCTCAAGCCCCGAGGAGGAGAGCGGGTCATGAGGGGTGACTGGCACCTCTGGGCTGCCTGGCCTGGCTTCTTTTCCTGCTGAGGATGTGCACAGGCGGCACCAGGGTCTCTGTAGGTCACACAGGAAACACTGGGAACGGTGCCCTGCTTCCTCACCTCGTGTCAGATCGGGTTATTTGTAAACCAAGGCATGGCAGAGCAGCATGCTCATTTTATTCCAGTCCTGTCAAAGCCTGGAAAAGCTGGAAAGAATTTTAGCTGGCTCTGGTGGCACAGTTGCTATCTGAGCTGTGTCCTGCTGTGGCCATGCTGAAGGGTTGCAGGAAAAGGCCAAGAATGTTGGCATTTCCCTTGTAGTCCTGGGAGGACAGAGCACGTGGGAGAGCTGCTCCTTGCCTTTGGCACACTGAGCCAAGCAAAGCACCACCTTGGCTCTCAGCTCGCCTACACAGGTGTCTGTCAGGAATAGCTTTTGGAGCTGCAAGCAGGGCCATATCACAACCTGTGTCACTCCTCAGTGTGCTTCTTGAGGGAGCCAGCCTCACTGGGAAGTTTAGGGAGTTTCCCATGCTGCTGGGGAAGTTCTGAAGTGGAAGGTTGGCTGATTTCTGCTGTGTAGCTGTGCAGTGGACACGAAGGAGGCAGCCTCAGCTGCTTCACCAGCTGAACAGGAACTGGTCAGCTCACAGCTCTGTGTTCCACTCTCTTTTCCAGGTGTCTGCCAAAATAATCTTGGGGTAAAGAATCATGGTTTATTGGCGATAAGCACGGAGAACCAGTGTGGTGGTGTTTGGTTTGGGGATGTTTTAGTTCCTGAGCCCCACAGCAGAGATGGATAGAAGTAAAAGGAGAATGTGTTTGGGAGGGACACCCAAGACACAGATCCTGTGTCCCAAAAGCCTCTATGTCCTTAATGCAGTTCTGACAGGGCCTGTTCCCTGCCAGGGGTGTTGCAACCCCGCTGAATGCTTTTCTGCTTTTCTCCTGGCTCTTACAGAACGATGACCTCAGGAACCTGTCCCTGTCCGGCCACGTGGGCTTCGACAGCCTCCCAGACCAGCTGGTCAACAAGTCAACGTCACAGGGCTTCTGCTTCAACATCCTGTGTGTGGGTAGGTCACCTGCTGGGCCCTCAGGGGCCACAGCCCCACACTCACACCTTTTCCCCCTGCCCAGGGCAGGGCTGAGCCCCTGCAGACTGTGCTTGTCTTCCCAGAGCTGCTCCATGGTGAAATGGAGTGTTCCTCTTTGCCCTTTCTCTGCCCTGTCCCCTGAGTCAGAGCATGGCAAGTGCTAGCTGTTAAAATCTATCCCTCTGATCATCCAGTGGTTCTGCTTTCCCCAAAGGCTGCCTGTAAGGAAACTGAACTTGGGAACTAAATGTATTTTTAAAAGGATACTCACTTAAATCTGCTTTTCTCTGGATTGGGTGTGGAGGCTGTTTCTCACCAAATTGCATTCCTTCCCTTCCAGGGTTTGCCTGTATCCTTACATTCTTAGTTTCTCCACTTGGAAACGATGCCATTTTTAGTCGCCAAATGATGTACTGGAGAACAAAGCTTGTCACCTGTCCTCTGCTGTATTTAATGTGGAAGTTGGTTTAATAGCCTGAGTTACTTTTCCCAAATTGTTCAGAGGGTGAAATACAAGGAGGCAGCATCTTCTCTTGGCTGTAGGGAGGTAGCTGCTGTCTTGGTACGCTGTGGCTGCTCCACAGCTGGAAATCCATTGCTCAGCCCCAGGGAGGTGTGAGCCAAGCCAGCTTTGGCTTGTCAGTGAACCCAGAATCTGGTTCTGTAAAGAGACAAAACTGCTGGGTTTTTCTCTTAGCTTGGCAGTGCAGGCTGCAAACATCATCTTTCCATTCATTGTTCATTCAAGCTTCCAAGAGGGGAGTATTGTCCCTTCTAATTAGTTACATTAATTAGCTGGAAAAACCCCACAACCCTCTGACTGTGATTTTTCTACAGCAAATTGAGAATTTCTGTGAGCTGCCTGAAAAGAAATCTAGCAAACTTGACTCCTCTCTGTAGCTCTGTGTGTGAAAGGCAGAGATAAGAGAGTAGTTGCGCTTGTGCGCACTCAAGCTCCCAGCCCTCACGTGACTCTCATAGCAGCATGAAACCATTTCAATCCAGCAGGGAACAGCCTGATTAGCAGGCAGCTCTTTGATCAAAATGGCATAAATTAATTGCCTTTCTCTCTTGAAGTAAATATGCCTTTCTTAGCGTGGCATAATATGTCTCCATTAGCAATTTGATCCACCTCTTTTTTTCCTTGTGAAATGTGACCATCCACCGATTTTCACCCCCATATTAACGTTCCACACAAACTGCTGCAGTTGGCCAAGGAACAGAAATCTCAGCCTTGAAAAAAAATTACTGTTTAAAATTGTGATTTGAGAGAGGACACAATTAAATTCAGTGTTGTAATGTGAGACTTCTAATTGGGATGTGAAATGCTGCAGAGCCTATCTGGCATAGAACACAGCAGTTCACATCCGGAGCTCCCTGTAATTCACAGTTTCAGCCACAGGCAGTCTGTACCATCAGTTTAGGACTTGGCTCTCTGTGTGAGTTGCCTCAGCCCACCCCTGCTCACAGCATGGGTAGCAATAGCTGCTTGAGAGTGTAATTGCTAAACAAACAGTTTTGACTGAAAAATGGGATTTAGGCTAATGCTTTCATCCATGTTGCTAATTGCACTGGGGATTAGTGAAACTGTAATAGTTTTAAAAGTTGGTATTTAACCAGTATGCCTTTTTCTTAAGAACTCTGGATATTTTTATTATTCAGATTTTTATTGTCTTAAGTTGCACTATGGGTATTGGATGATCTTCTTGAGACAACAAAACTGCCCGAAAAAGGCTGAAACAAAATGAGGGAATCAGGTGTGGAGTTGAGAGAATTGGCAACTTGCTACCATTAAGAAAGTTCCTGGGTCAGTCCTGGGGCAGTGGTCAGGATGGGGACTGTCTCTGACAACATCTGTTCCCGCAGGGATTATCTTGCTTAGCGATGTGCATGTAGCCTAATTCTGCTGCTGCCCAAGTGGAATAACTCCTTAACCTGGGGAACGTGCCAGAGAAAGAGGCGAGGGAGGCCCTGTCCTGACACTTGTGTCACTTCTGTGTGCTCAGGTGAAACTGGCATTGGCAAGTCGACGCTGATGGACACGCTGTTCAACACCAAGTTCGAGAGCGAGCCCGCCACGCACAACGAGCCCGGCGTCAGGTTGAAAGCGCGCAGTTATGAGCTCCAGGAGAGCAACGTGCGCCTCAAGCTGACCATCGTGGACACCGTGGGCTTTGGTGATCAGATCAACAAGGATGACAGGTAATCTGAGCTCTGCTGGGACACAAATCCCCCTGCTGGTGCCCTCTGAGGTGGGCAGCAGGTTCTGGGGGTGTTTCCCATTCCCAGCTGCTGCTCCTGCCTAACCCTATGGAGAGAACGGTGGGCAGCAGGGCTTAGGAAGAGCTTTTGTTCTCTTGCTGTGTCCTGGCATATACAGCTGTGGTGGGTGTGATTCGTTCTGTCCTCCAGGTTGAGTCTTCCCAGTCCTCCTTTGCGCTGCTTTTTTTGCGGGGTTTTCTTTAACATTTTTCCCGATGTGAGGCCTTACTGCTTTCTTTGCACACGTCTCTGAGGTTTTTGGTGTCTCATGGTCAGAGACAGAATTTCCATAAGCCAGGAAACCAGAGAGGCAGTCATTTTACAAACCCACCTAGTGATGCCCATGAGGCTGCCCTTGGTGGAGGGGGAACACATGGAACAATTTTCTTTCCAGAAGCACAGTTAATTTGAATAAGGACATGTTACGCTGCATGAACTGCCTTTTCTCCAACAAAATGGACCCACCAATGTCCATGAATGATGCAGTTGTCTTCTGAGTTTTGCTCATAGGCTTTAGTTCCTGACAAGTCCCTCTTATCTTGTGACTCTTCCTTCCCTCTTTTAAGATTATGAGATTTTGGACAAGCTAGGGGGTAGGTCATGTATTCATGTTTAAGTGTTTTTGTTAGATGATTTTCAGTGAGATTGGCAGAGCAGCAGCTCAGACTTGAATTGGACTGCCAAAGGCATTGTTCTTCACGTTAGCAGTCTTGTGTGGTTTCCATGCACCTGAAATTGAGGGCTGTCATATCTGTTGTGCTTTGCCTGTGCACCAAGTGGAAACACACCCTTGTGAAGGAGGGACTGTAGGTTGGTGGGGAGTATCCTAAAGCAGTGCTTGTCCCGTGCCATACAGAGCTCCTGAGTGTCCATCAGAGTCCTGTGTGGTTCCAGCTCTAATTCCCTGCTTTGCTCTGTGCCTTCTCTCCCCAGCTACAAGCCCATAGTGGAATACATCGATGCCCAGTTCGAAGCCTACCTGCAGGAAGAGCTGAAGATCAAGCGCTCCCTGTTCAACTACCACGACACGCGGATCCACGCCTGCCTCTACTTCATCGCTCCCACCGGGCACTCGCTCAAGTCCCTGGACCTGGTCACCATGAAGAAGCTTGACAGTAAGGTACTGGCTGCCTGGGTCACCACGGCCCTGTGGTGCTTTCATTATCTTGCCATCTGCTCAGGAAAATCGTGTCTGGGTTTAGCAGTGGAGAACTGCAGGCAGAAAGTGTGAGAGGTGTACCTGGGGCAAGCTGCTGCAATGGGTCATTATTCTGCTTCACATGCTGCACAGATTTATTGAGAGTTTGGGCTCCTACTCTTTTTCAGCTCTACCTTGGGTGGGGAGCTTGGCCATGTGCTCCCCAGCTCATCTTTAAAGTCAATAAGGACAGTTGAGGTTGTCTTTCTAGTCAGTTAAAAACAAATGGAGGTGCTGTGTCTGCTTGCTCTGACCTCATCCAGCTAGACAAAAACGGTGATGTGATCTGCTATGGCAAACATAGTGGTGTTCTAGCTGTAAAGTCATAGACAAGAATCTGAATAAATATGTTAGTTGGCATCTGCTTTTCCAGGTGCCCTCATGGGCTTGGTTTAAATCATGGTTCAAATGAGATTGCCCCTCTTCTAGGAAAAATAACTGAGGTACAAATGTAGAGCCTGAGTAGCTAAACTGAGCTTCTCTGTGCTCCTTTCCATCATGATTAAGCAATTTAAAACAGTCCACTGTGCACCTCATTGGATCCTGATTCTGCAGGACATCAATGTTGACAGCGGTTCTTTGTTTCCTAGAGAGGCCACTTGATTGGATTTTATGTGGTGAGGGAGAAAGTTCCTTGCCTTCTTCAACTGAAAATAAGGTTATGGAGATTTATCCCAAGTGAGCTAATTGACATTCCTGATCTATCTTTTTGGTCAAGGGGGATTTAATAGCTCCAAACAGAATTAAGTGATGTAATAGAAGAGGATTTTTAAGTACTGTAGTTAAGATCCCTCCATATAGGTCGATATTACTGTTATCCTCAGTACAATTTCTGTCTGCTGTTGCAGGGAAAAGCAAACCTGCAAGATCAAAAGCAGAAACTGTCCCTCTGAAGGGAGGAGAAAGGGAGAGAAGGCAGGATCTTTATCCTTGCCAACAGCCTGCCTAGGGAAGAGAGGCAGTAACTCATCTTTCATCTCAGAGCTGTGCAGGGAGGAGTGATCCCTGGTCCTGCAGTGCAGCAGTGTCCAGGGGCACATGAGGGCACACAGGTGGGGGAAGTGTGCCTGTGTTACTGCCAGCCCCTGTCCTGTGTGTCCCAGGGCTGGATAGGTACCATCTGCTTCCACCTCCTGTGGGGTGACAGCAGCTCTGCTGCCCCTCCGGTGTCCGTGGTGACATTCCCCTAGTGGGGGTCTGCGACAGGCTGTTGTCTGAGCGTGGCTCCAGCTGAAATCCAGCCAGCTGCAGTACCAGGGGATGTGCAGAGATGGTCATTTCCTTTCTCTTTTTTTTTTGGAGCAGCTCATAATAATCTATGACAACATTTCCTGTCCAGCCAATTCAGATGAGGAGGGGAGTATGACAGGACAGGAAATAGCATGCTGCCAAATTGCATTTGACTTCTTTCTAAGGCCATCACTGCTGCCTGGAAATCCTGCCTGAGGTGGTGCTGCTGGCAGCAGCAGCCCCAGGGAAGTTCATCTGCTGGGGATGCTGGCTGGTGCCACTTCAGGGCTGTCACTGGGTATTCTGCTCTGTCCTCTCCCAGAGACACAACCTGTGCTGTCCTGTCTTGCAGGTGAACATCATCCCCATCATTGCCAAGGCCGACACTATCGCAAAGAACGAGTTGCACAAGTTCAAGAGCAAAATCATGAGCGAGCTGGTCAGCAACGGCGTCCAGATCTACCAGTTCCCCACCGATGAGGAGACAGTGGCTGAGATCAATGCCACCATGAGTGTATGTTATCCGGGGGGGTGCCTGCCCTTGCCTCGCCTGGCCCTGTCCTTGATGGCCCTGCTGGGTCTTGCTTGGCTTCAAAACTGGAATTTAAGCACAGACATCAGCCTGGCCAGAAGGCTTTTGGGGGCTGGCAGTACCTGGTCTGATACGTTTCCTTGTGTGACAAACACTTCTCCCCCATTGCAGTTCTCACATCCTTCCCCTGTTGCAGTATTCCCGTCTCTGGAAAGGAAGAGGATGGGAGGCAGGGCCTCAGTGTGGTCAGGGCAGAGAGCTGAGGTTTGGCTTTCCTGTCCCAAACGACCACTGGCTGCTTCGTGGGGGTGATTCATTCACTGCCGCCTTTGTTTCGGTTTCCGCTGGGAGCACCGGCACTGATGTTCCAGCTCTCCAGAGCCCATCAGTGGCTCTGGCTGTTACCTCCTCCCCTGCCTCTAGACACCGGGTGGGAGGGCACTAAGGGCTAGACTGGACCTAACATTTTAGTGGGGGTTACCACGGAAAGCAACTCTTTGCCAAGGGCCTGACTCAGGGTGCAAAGGGAAGAATCTGAGCTCAGGGTTGCTCAGTGAGGTGTTGATTGGCCCCAAGAGGATGTGCCAGTCTTTAAACAAGTGCACTCAGATTAAGCTATTTCTTTGCTATTTGAAGGCTGCTGTGAGTTTTGCTGCTCAAGGGCTTGTAGATGGGCAATTATCTCGTCCAGCTGAATGTTAGACCCTCTCCAAAGCTCTCTATTGCCTCTCTTGCTGTTTTGAGCAGGGAGAAGCTGGCACAGAGAAGGCATGTGGCTCTACCAGCGTGCATTGGTGCAGAGCTCTGCCTTCCTCAGGTGCAGCCTGGCTGCTGTTAAACCCCTTTGCCAGATAATCCCATCTCCACTGCCCTGGCATCTTCCCTTCCCACCCAGGCTGTGACCACAGCTTAGCTGATACAGCTCCTGCTCCCAGAGCTTGCACCCAGCCCCTTTGGCTGCTGTTAAGGCAGGGAGAGTTTTCCACTGGGCTGGGCTGGGCTGGCAGCTGAGGCGAGCTCCCTCCTGGCAGCAGCCGCACTTCTGGGAGTAGATCCCAGATTGCTGCCACCACACCCACAGAGAGACCTGGACGGAGCAGAGCTCCATGACTCAGATGTGTCAGCCAGGGCTGGGTCAGCTCCGCTCTTCCCCTTGCTCACAGCTTTGCCCTCTGTAAGAGGAAGCATTAGCAGTTCTTTGTAGCAGCAAAATCCCCCTGAATTTTGCCTTCCTTGAGAAGATCTAGTGCATTTTCTTTTTTATTGTTTCACGATTCTTTTTTCTCAGTGTTCAAATTCAGTTCCAGTTTGTAAGACTTGTTCTGTGCTTAAGACAGTAGTGCTTTGTAATTAAATGGAAAACAATGTACGTATCTCGTGTTTTTACAACCTCAGAATTTTGGGCTTTAAGTCTGATCAGGTTTCTCATCCAGATTGTCCTGTTGCTCTTCCTGGAACCAGACAAATTGCAAAGGCGTTTAAACAACTTAAATTTAGCAGAGCTGCCCCAGTAAACAGCTTTCTTGAGAAACAATCTCTGGCAAGGCAGCAAAGGAAATCCCCGACCTCATTGTCCCTTTCCTTTTGTAGGTCCACCTTCCTTTTGCCGTGGTTGGCAGCACTGAGGAAGTGAAGATTGGCAACAAGATGGCGAAAGCCAGGCAGTACCCCTGGGGTGTTGTGCAGGGTACGTTACCAAGGGCACGAACCAGGCCTTCTCATCCTGTCCCCTTCTGTTCCAAGAATAACCAGTTCTGTTACTTCCATCACTGGATGGCCCTTACCAAAATCTGAGAGAGCACAGCTTAGATCTGAGCATGGGCATCGGGACATGAAGCCAAAAGCTCCTTCCTGCAGGAGGGCAGAGTTTGGCCAGGACACTGTTTGCAGCCCAGGCTTTACTGAAACTGCCAAAAATCCAGAGCTGATCCTTGCTTTCCAGCTAGCACTGAGAAGTACAGAATTGAGATGGTGATGGTCTCCTTGTGGCTTCAGTTGCGTATCCCATTGGAGAATGGCCCAGGAAGCTGCAGGGGAGCATTCACACTGCAGTTCTGTAAAACTCTCTGGTTTCTCAGTAATACCAGCTGCCCCTGAAGCAGCTTCAGAGACTTACACTGTGTTTACCAGAGGATGGTACTGGGAAAAACGGTTAGGAAAGAAGCTGATGTATCTGGGAGGTCTTGGACTTGACCTGTATCCTTCTGGGTTCTTGCTGTTCCCAGAAGACTAGGACCAGATAGCTGGAGATTGAGTTTAAACTTGGCCTCTGCAAGCCCCTATGAGTGCTGGGATTTTGAGTGGGTTTGGGTGGGAAGTGAAATCCTGTAAGCAAACAGATCATCACCTTGCTGGTGCCAAAATGGGTGGGAAGGTGGGAGCCCTGTGACAGATGGGCAATGCACAGATCGTGCAAATCCAGCGCAGGCCTTGAGCTCAGGCCCGTGCTGGCGTGGGATGGCTTCAGCCCCAGTTCAGCAGGGCCTTTTGGTGCGGGCTGACTCGGAGCTGTGCTCTGAGGTTTGCTGCACTGGGGCCCAGATCCAGGGAAGGGGGGAGCCCAGCTCCCGGGTTTCATGTTCTCCCTGTGGATATTGTGTCGTTTTTGCAGTGGAAAATGAAAACCATTGTGACTTTGTGAAGCTGCGGGAGATGCTGATCCGGGTGAACATGGAGGACTTGCGGGAGCAGACGCACACCCGGCACTACGAGCTGTACAGGCGCTGCAAGCTGGAAGAGATGGGCTTCAAGGACACAGATCCAGACAGCAAACCTTTCAGGTAGGGATGTGCAACATAGGCACTGCTGTGCTCTGCAGTCTGCTTGCTGTGCTGCTGCTCATGGCTGCCTGAAATTCTGAATTAAGAAAAGTGCAGCCATGTCTGTGCGATAGCAAGGTGGCCCATGCTCTGGGGACATCCTGAGGTAAATGATCTTTTGACCCTCCTGGAGCTCCTCACAGCTGGCCCAAGGTGAGCTGTGAAGAGGGTGCCACGGTCTCATGCCTGAGGTTTGGCTGATTACTGAACACATAGTTCATTCTGTCAGACAGCTTTATTGGTCTGCAGCCCAAGCCATTAGCCAGGGACAGCAGCTGTGTGGGAATTTGGGAGGGAGTGTTTGTTTTCTCCCTTCATTTCCTGTTTCCCATTCCTCCCCAGCTTTTCCCCAGTAATTGCACCCCCTCCCTCACAGTGTTCCATGTCCTCTCTGCCTCCTGGGGAAGGCAGTCAGAATTCCAGTGCACCGGTGGGGGCTTGCCCCTGTAACACACATGTGTGTCAGGGGCTGGCATTGGTTTGGGGTCTTGTTTCTGACTTACTGAGTTGATGCAGCTGCACTTCTTCTGCAGCAGAAACCTGGCTGGAATCAGTCAAGCCCAGTTCTGTTACTAAGCCCAAGTGTGAAGCTTTATTGGATTTCCTTTCTGGAGAGCAATGGCTTAAGATGGGCTCAGCCCTTCCTTTGGAGGAATCTGAGGAATTTCCATTGCTTCCTGTACACGAGGCCTCTTTTGACCAAGCTATAAGTAGAAAGGAAATGAAAACGTACAGAATTTCTCCATCTGGTACGTGCTAGTTCAGAGCAGCTCACTCTGGGTGCCTTTTCCCTCCAATAAACAAACAAAACCTATGATCCCAAGCTGTTTGGCCGAGGCTGATGTATATCTGAAATGAGGGAGACATTCTCTCTGAGCTCAGGGATCAAAAGGATGCTTTTCCCTGCATCTTGGCCCCAGGAGCCACAGGAACTGCTGCCCTTCAGCCAGCTTGCATCAGCCAGGAGCAGGGAGCCTTTGGCAAATCTCAGGGGGAGCCAGGCAGGAGGTCTCAGCAAAGCCTTGGTGCTGTGTAGGAGCTTCTGTGAGGTGTGGGAAAGGGGCACTGCTGATGTCTGAGACCCCCACATTGCTTAGCCAGGCTGCAAGAGGTCAGGAGGGAGCCCCAGGATCCCAACAGGCATCAGCCCCATGAAATGAGGTCTCTTTGCACAGAGACCATTCTGCTGTCCTCTGTCTGTTGTGGGCTGAATTCTTTGCTGCTCTGGTTGAGCTTTTCAAAATACTCCTTTTTCAAATAATATTATTTGCCAGGGCATCCTTCAGTGTGTGGGGGCGTGTTGGGAAATCAAGTTACTCTTGTAGTTTAGGTTCATATGGTTGTGTACTTAAAAGCCAATTCCCTTGTCATCTTTGCCTGTGAGAAGCAGCAGGGATCCCAGTTGGTTTGGACTGTTATTCCTTAGGGCTGTAATTGTTTTTTTCACATGCAGCCTGGGAGTTGCCAGGCCTGTTTCTCTGAGAACTTGGCTCGTCTGGAAGTCAGAGTCACTGCAGCAGAGAATGAAGCTTTGAACCTGGGACAATTTAACAGGAAGCCCCTGCCCCTCTCACTCCTGCCAGGCTTTTCCTGCTTGCCCATCACCCAGCATGGTGTTTCTGGAAGTGAGCTTTGGAAGGAGTGGTTTGCAGTCCACGATCCCACGAGCTGTGTGCAGAGCTTTCTGTTTCACTCTCTGAGGCTCTGCTGCTCCCTAGGACAGCGTGGCACTAATTGCAGATTCAGTTTGTGCTCACTGAGCAGCAAAGGCTCACCTGCCCTCGGGCTTTGCCACATCCTTCACAAGGAATTGAAGTTTCAGTGTCCACAGTCAGAGCATTAAATCCAGCACTGAATTTTAGCGAGGTTTTGTTCTGAGTCTCCTGAAGACTGTATTCTGTGAGAGGTCTGGTTCTGCATGTAGCTAAAAATCCAAAGATAGCTCTTGCCCTGCTCTCCCACGAAAGGGTTTTTGTAGTTTTTAGAATCAGTATTTTTGCTTCCATGTGTAGGAAGCTGGTGTGGTCATGTGGAATGGTGTGATTTCTCTGGGGCGGCCAGTGCTGTGCCAGAACAGCTCTGGGCATCCTGTCTGGAGGGTATTTTAGGAGGTAACTGAAGTGCCTATTAATTAGCAGAGTTAAATACAAGGCTTGAGATAATCTGACAAGTTGTGTTCCCCAGCTCAATATTGCATCCCCTAAAAAAACCCCAACCAATTAAAAAGCCATCAAACCCCCCGACACCGCTAGGAAAAGTAAAAGCTTAACTTTGTTGGAAGTTGGATGTTCCACTGGCCCAAGAGTTAATGTGTTCCTTAGGCACATGGATGCAACGTGTCTGTGTGACTTCAGTAGAGTTTTCATTTTAAAAATGCTTTTTCAGAAAAGCCTCTTGGGGGAAATAGTTATCATTCCTACACTATCATTATGGCTGTGCTATCCAAATCCATTTAAGGAATAAAACAAAAGAGGAATTTGGCATCCAGAGTTCCTAAGAGGCTTTAAAAATCTCAGAGGTACATGGACAACGTATTTCATGTCCCAAATCTTCACTGCCTATCTCAGTGCTGGGGAAATGAAGGAATGCCAAGGAGTGGAGAGGGAATGAAGGAATCCAGTCATGTGGTTATTTGGAGTAGGAAGGCTGCTGATGGTTTGCAAAGGCCAAAGGAGAAAGGGACGTCTCCCAGGATGGTGTTATCTAAATCAAGCTCCTGATGTGACTCTATTAGCAATGAGTAGTGAAAATGAATTCTGCTCTGTGTCAGCGTCGTGCCTAATGAGCTACAAAGGGGCAGATTTCTCCCGGGTCTGCTACACAAACCTTGCATTTGGAACGCACACTTGGCACAAACACAGGGAGAAGGGAGGCGGTGTGGCTCCGAGGGATCGCCGGCCCCGTGGGCATCGGGGATTGCCGCAGGCACTTGTGTAGAGGCTGCTTCTCTTGCAGGACAGCCGCCCTGCCTGCTGAGTGATGCGCGGGACGCTGCGCAGGGAGCTCAGCTCCTCCTTTCCGTTCGCCTCCCACTGCTGCCACCTAGCAAGCTGCGATGGCTTTCACGGGGCTGATGCCGTGGTTTGCGACACGACAGCCTAAGTGCTGAGGTCTCCGAGGGCTGGAAGCTCCTGGCTGTGCTTGAAACACTGTTCTGACTGGGTTTTGTGTGCTTTTAACAGTCTCCAAGAGACTTATGAAGCAAAGAGGAATGAATTCCTGGGCGAACTCCAGAAGAAGGAGGACGAAATGAGGCAGATGTTTGTCATGCGAGTGAAGGAGAAGGAAGCAGAGTTGAAGGAAGCAGAGAAGGATGTGAGTATATTGTAACTGTGAGGGCAGGGCTGTTAGAGAACATGTCCTGCTGGGGCAGGAAGCTGCTCCCCAGGCCTTGTGCTGCTGCAGAGGGGCAGACAAGAGTACAGCCCTCAGTGCCCGAGTCCCCTTGTTCGGCACTAACCTGATAGAGTACCAAGGTACCAAGCACTGAGGGATGCAATATGGAGGTGCTGCTGCTATGGGAATTCCTGCTCTCTCGAGTGCCAGGGAGTGTTACCTGCAGGGCTTTTCTCACGAGTCAGGCAGTCTGGGGACAGGCTGATGGCCTGCAGGCAGTGCAGGGAGGCCTCAGTGCCAGCAGGAACACCTGGGGCATCATAAATCAGGGTGGAACATTCCTTCCTCTCTTCCCAGCCAATTCTCATTGTCTCTGTCCCGGCAGCTTCACGAAAAGTTTGACCATCTAAAGAGGACTCACCAAGAAGAGAAGAAAAAGGTGGAAGACAAAAAGAAGGAACTTGAGGAAGAGCTGAACAACTTTCAAAAGAAGAAGGCAGCTGCTCAGCTATTACAGTCACAGGCTCAGCAGGCAGGTTCTCAACAAACCAAGAAAGACAAGGACAAGAAAAAGTAAGCGGTTGTCACCCACACCCTTTGTAGGGTTTGTTATAAATTTTGGGAGGTTGTTTTTTTCTTTCTTGCTGCATGTCTGTATTTGCTTTTCCCCATTACCAGACTGGAAACAGGCCTTTTCTCAGCCTGATCAAATAAAATATTTTTTTTTCTAAAGGGTGGGCCAGGGACATGATCTTAATTTTTCTCTAGAAGAGTACCTTCAAATTTTATCTTCAAGTCTGACTGGTGTGGGAGAGCAATTGGATGGTGGAGTTTTGATTTGTGATCTGTTCAGCATCTTCTGGAACTATGGGATGTTCTGGACTCAGATTTATCTGCCTGAGCCAGAAGTATTAAGGGAGTTGCTACTCGTCCTTTCTTTCACCGGTAGTCTCCAGTTCCCATTCCTTAAGGTTGTAGTTGTAAGTAGAAGTAAATTAGAAACCAAAACCACCATGTTATTTTTACATGGGGAATGCTAGTGCCAAAAGTGATGACTTGGAAGCTTGCTTTAAAGACAAGAAGCTTTGGTTTTGTATTTTTTTAGAAAAACAAACTACTACGGTACTGTAATTGCAGTTAAATAGCGTTTGTGGTTGTATCAAGTGGACATAATAAGCTAAGAAACCTTTACCTTTTAGTCAAGATCATGGCACTGTTTTTTACTATTTTATATTTGTGTCCTAGGAGTGTGATCCTTTGCCCTCCCCTGGCTTTTTCCATTCCTAGTAAGAGGGTGCTCATGCAAGTCCTTAATGAGTCACCCGTGCTAAGGATGCTTAGTTGGTACTGCCATTGGGAAGGCTGGGGATGCAGCAAATCTCATTGGAAAACACTTGGTTAACCCACACACAAAAATGACAGTTCCACGCTGCTTTCACTGCCCAGGAGAGAATGGGGTGTTCCTTAGAGCAACAGGGGTGGTGTCACCCCTGGCAGAGCCAAGTGCCAGCAGGGCTGTGCCTCAGACCCTTGTGTCTCCCGTGCCAGCCTGGGAGCTGCAGCCTGGCCTGAGCTGTGTGGCAGCAGCTGTGCAGCAGCTGTGCTGGCGTTTCACAGCTTGCACCCTCGCTGCATGGCCCTGTCTCTGGTTCTGTGCCCGGGCAGGTGGGCAGGGCTGGGGCTGCTTCCTCGGCTGCTGTCAATTGATGTAGCTCCTATGGAGCCGTGCTGCTCGCTGCTGCCTGAGGACATGGCCCTGGGCCCTGCCAGGATCTGTGGAGTGCTGCCTGCTGCACACTCTGCTCGGGGAGAAATCCTTACAGACCAGAGCCAGGGGTGTCGGGCTGAGCACTGGAACGGGCCAGTGGCGGCAGCTAAGGCCCAGGCGTGCTGAAACCCCCTGCTGCAGATAGCTGGGACACTCATCTTCTCTCACCTGAGATCTCAGACATGGTGATGTATTCCCTAAGGAAAATAGAAAGTTTTGAAGACCCTTTTCCTTATCTCTCAGAGTTAGCCTAGTGTTTTTAAGAACTGTGCAGTCAGATTTTTTCGTCTCTCAGCTGTAGGACCAGTGCAGTACAGAATGGCCTGGGGAGTTCTGTCCCTTTGGGTGGTCAGTGTGAGCTCCTGTTTGGTTCCAGCCTCATGGGTGAGACAGGGCTGTTCCCTGGGACCGTGACAAACACAGATTCTGCTTTGCTGCTGCGTTCACAGAAATCCAGCCTCGAGGAACATGCCCGTGTTTTAGTGTGTCCTTTGTGTCGCTCCACGCCAGGTGCTGTACCTGCTGCAGGTGTTCTCTAGTGTCAGAGTTACTAACAGAGGCTTTCAAGGGAAATGCTGATGCTCCTGCCTTGTAGCTTGCCTTGGTTTTCTGAAGGCTTTCGGTTTCTCCTTGCACTCTAATGTGGAGCTGCAGTTTGTGTAGTTAAGGCTTCCAACCTCTCTCTCTGCTGCCATGGCCTGTGGTGCTTCTTGTGCAGTTGCCAGAGGAAAGCCTTGCCATGCCTGACCCTTACAGCCTCCCCACAAAGTAATTAATGGGAATGCTTGATTTTTCTCAAGGTGGGATTGGATTTCTCTGATTTAGGCAAGAGAGACTTCCCACTGTGGTGTGCATGCTGGAGGGAACGCTCAGGGTGAAATCTGCTGCTGGCCTGACTCCATGAGGGAAAGCTCAGCCTTCTTGATTTCCAGACTATTCCTCCAAAAATTCTCTAGCTTGTACTCTTTTTATCTAAAAAGTTTGGGGCTGTGGCCTGACAGCAGCAGTGTTTGGGGACAGCACCCCTGTGTCCCTCAGGCACCAAAGGGGTGGCTGCAGAGCAGACTCTGGCACTTGCCTGGGCGTGGGGCTGAGCCCCTGCTGCAGGGGACTGTGCTTCCAACCTGACCAGTCTGGAGAGAGCTCCTGGCAGCAGAGCCAGTGGGAGAGGCAAGCAGCCTTCTGGTGCTGGCCTGCTGCAGGCTGGATGGCCACATGCCTCAACATGTGCCGTTGTTGCTGCTCATCCGCAGCCCCCCAGGAGCCAGGACCATCTGCTTGGCTTCTGTCTCCAGTTATTAAAAGCTGCCTCTGAAAGCCAAGTGTAAAACCTTTTTTTCTTTTCCCCAGTTCCTTTCCACTTAAGTTTCCAGTCCAATGTGCCTGGTCTGGCCATCAGGGACCGTGCTAGTCCCAAAGCAGTCTGTGAGCTACAACACCCCTGTCAGGGCCTGGCCCAACACCCTGTAAAAAGAGGGGTTTGGTGGTGCCTGAAGGATCTGAGCTGACTGTGAAAGCCCAAGTGCTTGGAGACCTCCTGGTGTCCAGGTGTGAGATACCTGAGCTATCCTGCTAGGATGTCCATGGCAAGTACCCCGAGCTGGCCCCCTGCACCCGTGTCCCAGCTGGGAACAAATGAGCCCCAAAGCCACCCAGCTCTGTGGTGACAGGCAGTCACCTGGGCCAGCTTACAGGGTTGGTTGGTCAGTACTTCTGTGTCTGCAGTTTTTCTTTTTACTTTTGCTTGTCATAGGCCAGAGTAGAGCCCAGCCTTGAGGTTGAATTTCTTTGTAATTCCATAATCCATCTGCATGCCCACCCACCGGAGCGAGTTGCTGGTGTTGGCTCTCCTGGCTTTCTTTATTTTTTTTGCATTTTGAGTTCAATTAGTGCTAACTTTTTTGTTTTTTGTTCTGTTTTTTTAACTTGCAGTGCAAGCTTCACATAAAGCCTGTCGAGCCAAGGATGTTCCTGCATTCACCTGCTTTTGCAGTAATGTGTCTCTGCCATCTGTTTTCTTTTTATATTTTTTTCCATTTTTTAACATGAATAACTATTAACTCATCTAATAACATAGTGGGAACAAGAAGGAAGAGGGATTGGGTGCAGGACTCTGTGTGAGTGGAAGTTCAGGGGTGGGTGGAGGGACAAGGTAACCATGATGACACCGTGCATTTTTCTCACCAAAACCATCAGCAGTAAATTACTTTTGGCCCCCAGTCTGAACCAAGAGTCAGAGTTGGCTGTCAGCAGCTCAGGTGTTGGCTGGCTCAGGTGCCCTCAGTGCTGCTGGCTGTGCTGTGAGATCCCCAGGGAGTGAGTGATTCAGGAATGTCCCAGCCAGCCCAGGCCGTGGCTGGAGCTGGAGGGGCTGATGTGTTCCTTGAGGGGCTGATGTGTTGAGCAGCCCCAGTCCCAGGGGGCAGAGGGAGGGGGGTGTGTGCAGATAACCCAGTGTAACTGACCCTGCATGCTGTGACATTTGCATGATAATTTGTGTAGCTCCTGTTCCGTGCTGTCTGCCCTGGCCTGGTTTCCAGCCTTGGGGAGCGACCATTCCCAGCACTGCTCCCCCTGCTCCATTGCCTCAAACCTTTGGAGCCTCCCTTAAAATCCTGCCTGCTTTCCAAGGGGCAGGATCTTAACAAGGCTTAGCAGCCCTCATGGAATCAAATGCCTGGGCAGGGGGAAGATAGAGCCTTCAGCATCCTCTTGGAACTTCCAGGTGCACGTGGGACCCACAGTTCCAGGTCAAGGGAGAGAAGGTGCCTGGACACGGTCTCTGTGCTGCCCCCCAGCCCTCCTGCAGCAGGAATAATGTCGCATTCAGGTGTTCCTAGGACATGCCAAGGAGCTGTAGGATAAGCCAGGCCCTGCTCTCTGGCCAGCACACAGTGGAAATGGGGCTGTTTCAAGTGTTTTTTCCATGCCATTGCTTGCAGACAGTGTCATTCCCTTCCTTCCCAAGGAGTGGCAAGCCGTGCTTACCCTGTGACTCCTGGATTTCTTCCTCTGCCAGTGCACAGCCAGCACTTCCTAGCTAGGCAGTCTCTTTAAAGCCTTCTTTAAACCCTTCTAACACAAAACTCTTCCTACCTGAGTCTCCCACTGCAGCTGTTTGCCTGCTTCTGGATGGAATTTCTCTGGGGAGAAAAGAAAAGGCAGACTTCTCGCTTCTTTTAATCACTTTTCCTCAGGTGTTGGATTGGGAAGTGCTTGGAGGTCAGCTTATGGGTTGTCCTGCTTTTTAACCCTCACTGCTTAAACATGGCTTTAGGAAGAGAATATCTATGAACCATGTCTTGGTAGACAGCAAAAATTGATAAATAAGCTGGAAATAAAGCAGTTAACCTTTTTATCCTTTTAAAAAATATGTATAATTTTTTTCTTTTTTTAGATTTTTTTAAAAGTAGTTTTTAAAATTATTATTCTTTTGTTGTTATTGTTTGGGTTTGGTTTTTTTCCCCTCCTGGAGTTGCCAACTATGCACTTTTCATCAGGTTAAATAGGTTTGCTGCAGGGTTAATTGGAAAAATGAAATTCTGGTTCTTGTGGCTTCTGGCAAACCCAGCTTTAAAATCTTGAGTTATGAAGGAAGAAGTTTGAGTTGTTTGCATGAGTTTTTTACAGTCACATCACATGCCCATCACCGAGTGCTCGTGGCAATATGCTTTGCTTCAGCTGCCTCTATGCATGTCATCTTTTTAATTACCAGTGTTTTGTGCCAAGTAGAAAACTTAATTTTAACATTTATTTCTCCTGCTTCATTTAACAGCCCTTCAAGGGATGTTTAGCAGGGGAAATCAGCTGAGCTGAGCTTTTCCTTTTTGACAGAAAGCTGTGGCCAAGTGCATTAGTGTCTTTTTGGTTGAGTTTTTCTCCAGCAGAAAACCAGCTGTGTTGGAGAAACTGGGAATAAACCACAAACTTGAAGATGTCAAAGGTACTGTTTTGGTTTTTTTGCCAAAGGAGATGGAAACTACTTTTTTCCCCATCTTGAAACCCTCTGGGCCATGTTTAGCTTGTTCCTGCTGCTCTTGTTGCTTTTCCTTTCCCTGTGCCTTTTTTCCCAGTAGCCCCTGATGTGCATGGAGTGAATGATAGACTCAGGTCTGGCTGGATGTGCTTTCGCCTCTGCATGTAAGTACAGCAGGAAGAGACTGACCCTTCCTGCCTCGCTCCTGATGGGAGAGCAGCTGTGCTTTTCTGGGAGATGCTCCAAGTCACTCACTTGCAAGCGGGGTGGTTAACGCCCCTCTAAAACTGCACGTTCCTCACAAGGTGGATTTCAGTCCTTAGGCTAACACAGAGGAGCAGGACAGCCCACTGAAACGTGCTTTTTCTGGGATGGGGATGTTCCCAGGGCATGAAGCAAACCCCCAGAATGGAAAAGCAAAGACAGTCCAGGTCTCTGTGAGGGGCTGTGGCTGCTCTATAGAGAGGGGGCACACGTGGGTCTGGCAGGCAGTGGGAGAGGAGGAGATGGATTAAGGGTTTGCTCCCTCAGAACGTTCTGGGGACGACATTGTTCCTTGCAGGGGGGGCAGTGAGTAGGAAGGTGCCCTTGGAGCTCATGGTTGTGAAATGCATCCTCTTGAGATGCATCTCCTGTGGCGCTGCAGGAGCCGCAGGGGAAAGCAGGCGCTGGCACCCACGCCAGGCTCCTCTCCAGCTGGAGAGCTGCCACTCCTGTCACCCCTCCACGTGCTTCTGACAGCTGGAAATCCCAGCAGGGAGCTGCGTGTCTCCCTGGAAGGACATCCATGTTAAACAGGGCCCATGGTTCTGCAGGCAGCTCTCTCTGCTTCTCCCAACCCCTCCCAGTGCAGATGGAAGTGTCTTTTTGTGTGTGACCACCTCAGCTGTGTCCGTGTGACTCCAGTCCCCTTCTGTGTCCCTTCTCCCCGGGCCTGGGCTGCATGTGCAGGGTGTGAGATCCGTGGTGCTCTCACCAGCGTGTGCCAGCACAGAGCTCTACAAATATGAAGGGTTTTTTAATTAATGGGAAACAAAGCTGTGAACAGCAGTAGAAATCTTGTATTTTTAATATCCTGATTGCCTTAAACCATAGATGTAGGACTTTATTACCTTGCTATTGGAAAATAACCCATGTTTGTAACTAAACAATTGTGTAACCTACATACAGTGTTAATGCAAATGATATGTATGCATCTGTTAGATATTGTCACTTTATTTGATGTTAAAATATTTCAGTTTTTGAATTACAGATGGAATAATAACCTTCTAGCATAAGCTCAGTTATTTCTTGTATATGCTTCAGGCTGCAGATCCACATAGTGCCAACACTTGAAGTGGGGAGAGGAAATACATTTTTACCCAAAGCTTTGGTCTTTGCGTGGCCTCTGTGACATTTGCTGTTGCCGTTCTGTGGCGGGGTGACAGGAGGGTCACCTGTCAGCTTCTGCCTCCCCAGCAGGTTATTCTGTGCCTCTGAGGTGCCTCTGTAGGTTCGTGCTGCTGTTTGTCAGTCGCTTCTTGTGGTGGTCATGAGCCTGCTCCCCACCCCAGCTGGCGTCCCAGGGAGCTCGGGCCAGAGTTGATGTGTGTGACACCTGTCCAGTACATTCCCTCCCCCGTGACTGATATTAAAAATGTTGTTCCTCCTTTGTTCCACCCTCACTTTTTCATTTCAATTCTGAACCTCTGTTTCTTTTCTCTTCTGTTTTTCTCTTTTTTTCTGTAGCTTCTTCTTTATGTAACCGTCACCTTGCCAAAGCCCCCGCACCCTCTCTCCCAGTGGACCGTAGGGCACTGGAAGAGCTGCGGATCCGGGCACCCCTGCCAGGAGAAGAGCCACCTCATTCTTCCATCACGTCTGCCCTCCTCTCCTTCCCCCTTTGTTCCCACCCGTGCGTCTGAGGGTGTGCTGTGCTGTGTGTCTGTGCGGGATGTGCCCGCTCCGGCGCGCCTCCGACAGCGTCCAGGCTCGCAGCAGTGCCGGAGGGAACGGCCGCCGGAGGGAGCTCGGCCGCGCTGTGCCTCCTTGCTCTGGGTTAGTTGGATTTTTTTGCCTCCCTCCCGCTTTCTTCTGCCATAGCGTGCACACGCTGCTGGTGACACACACAATGACAGACTGGGGGGTGAGTGTGCATAGCTGGAGGATTTCATTTCTGCCTCAAGCCTGGCTGCTTTGGATACCACAACTTCATCTCAAGGGCGTCCTGTGCTCCTCTGGCATGGCTGGAAATGTCTCCATAGACCTGTGATGTTCTCAGTGTGTCACTGTGTGACGGTGGATGTCCCGTCCTGTGGCACTGATGGAGCCTGTCCTGGACAGTCAAGGCCTTATTTTCTGGCTGTGCCTCGCTGTGGGCAGAGCGGGAGTCTGGTTTTGTACAGCCGAGCTGCACTGGCTCGCACGCAGATCCAGGGCTTCATTTTGTTTTCATGAAGCCTAATTAGTGATTATTTTTTTAACAGTCCTGAATGTGGGCAAGTTGTTAAAATTTCTATCTTGTTTACTTTGGAAGTGAACTCAGCTGAAAAGTTTGACAAATGCCAAAGGATTGCTTGAAGGTAAAAACAAAACCTGTAAATGTGTGTAGTGACCTCCAGCTGGTTTGGGATGGAGGGAAGGAGGCAGCCCAAGCCTCTTGGGATGTTGGTTTGTGTAGAGTGATGCACTTTGATTTTGAACCGAATACTAGTGATTTGTTCTTTGCATCTGTGAACCTTAATCAAGGACTTCCCTTCCTTTAGCCTGCCAAAGTAAAGCTGCCCTGAGTTGGTCTAGGTTTGGCCTCTGGCACTCAGTGTGTGACATGCCAGCTGCTGAGGGGCTCTGCTGAAATCTGCTGGGGTTTTTTTTTTTCACAAGAACAGTGTTTTGCAGCACCCTTCAGTGACAAGGGTCAGCTCCCTGCTTGTCCTGGAAACCTCTGCAACCAAAGAAGTGGCTTTATAGATGCACTCAGAAAGGTTATTGAGTGTTGGCCCTGTGTGTGCTGTACCCTGGTACGTAGCTGGACTTGCTGGTTGTTGCCCAGCCTGAAGGGCTGTCAATATTTGCACAAGTGTAGCTTGGGACAGGACTTGCAGTGATACCAAAACCAGAGCCTGCCCTGCTCTCGAGGCAGGTGGTACCCAGTGCCTCCCACCAGATAGCCAGGTTAGAAACCTGTTTAATTCAGCTTTAACTGAGTACAAAGCAGGGTTGAGGCCATTGCTGGATTAAACCTTGGCTGTGTCTGTCCCTGCCTTGCTCTGCAGAACTCTGTGGGTGTTTGTCTTAACTGGGAAGCACCACTTGCAGGATGGGATCCCTGTGTGCCCTGGGCCACCATCCCTACCAAAAAGTTATGGCACTCCCTGGATGCCAGTACTCGCACGGACTGCCTTTATTTTGCAGCTCTGTAGAGTTGTGCTGTGCTGGTGCCTTGAGTCCTGCTGGCAGCTCTGGCGCTCGTGTCTGCGGGAGGACATAGCGGGGTTAGAGAAGGGCACTAAAGGGAATTGGGATGGAGCAGCAGCGTGCCAGGTTAGGAGCCCCCTTTGGAGAGCGGAAGGCAGAGGTGAGGGACGATCCAGCCGTGCTGCGAGCTGGAGGTGGCAGCACATGGCCTCTAGAGGTCCCCTGCAGCCCAAATTTATTTGTGACTGTTCCAAAGCTCCATGGCGGTGCGTGTCGAGCTGCCGCTCACCAAACCCTCACAAACTGAACTCAGCTCGAAGGGAATGGGCTCAAAACACGGAGTAGCTTTCTTACCGAGCAGGTACTAAACTTCCGGGCTTTTTTTTGCCCCAGGTTGTTGAGGTGGACGGTGTCAGCAGAAGGTTTTGGGGTTGGTTGAGGGTTTTTGAAGGGCAGATTCAGGGAGAACATGTGCAGAAGGAAATCGGTCCCACTCCGTTGGTGGTGGATACAGGGCGGAGGGAAGAGGGAAGGGAGCGGAAGGCACAGACGCTGCCAGCGGTGTCTGTGGAACGAGGGGCGGAGCTGCCAGAGGCTAGTGGGTGCTTTCCCACACGCAGGGCTGGGACAAGGGCTGGGACGTGACCTTCATTTGCTTCCTGCATGGCTGCAGCTCCTGGGGAGGAGGTGTCAGCGAGGGGAGGGGGCGGCTCGGGGAGGTTATTTGTCGCCAAATGTCCCCCAGCAGAGCTGGGAAAGCCACTTCATCCACTCCCTCAACTTTGCAACTCTCTGAAGTTGAAAAGTTTTGCTTTGTGGTTAACCCTTGTGTGCTGCTGCAGAGGATCCATGCTCTCATGTCTGGAGGGCAAATCCTTCAGGGGTGCTGGGGGCAGCAGCACCGTGTGTGAGGGTGAGCCGGGATGGCAGCTGCAGGCTTGGGAACGCGCAGCAGTGCTCTGGTGGGGAGTGGCTGCTGTGCCGGGGGAGCTGCCTGGGCTTGGGGCACTGAGCAAGTGCTCGGGTTTGGGAATGCAGTGGCTTTTATCCCACTGCTCTGGTGGGAGATGCTGGGCTCCTGGCCTGCACTGCTCTGCTGCTCCTGGGGTGCAGACCCCGTGTTGGCATCTTGGGCTGCTCCATGACATGAAGCACTGGGGTGCTGTGAGCTTTGTGGGAAGGTCACGAATGTGAGGAGTGAAGGGCATGAGGGAATGTTTTCCTGTGGGAAACAAGGAGCCCTGGCAGTGCTCCAGTGCAGGCCTGTGCTCCAGCAGTGGGAGCAGCATAGCAGCCAGCCTGCCGTTGAAGGTGGTGAGGCTGGAGGGGGCAGCTTCTGCACCTGCTCCAGGGAAGAGCAAAAACAAGGAGATGCTGTCAGGTGCCACAGCCAGGGACACGCCAAGCATCCAGGGCCTGTGCCAGGACAGCAGGACACTGCAGAGATGGCTCATCTGGACCAGGGTCAGGGTTTGTGCACAGCACCAAGGAAATAAAACGTGTCTGTCTCTGCAGCCCACTGGGGCTGGGGCATGCTGTGTTTGGGACTGGGGAGAGGGAAAGCTGCCTCAGCAGCCAGGGACACTTGAGTCCTGCTTCCCTGCGCTGGCCAAGTCAGCACTGTGGCTTGGCCGGCGTCAGGCAGCACAAGGAGGCCAGGAATGGTTTGGGGCAGTTTTGGGAGAGCCACAGTGATGCTGTTAATTGGATGTGTTTTGGAAGGCAGAGCTCTGCCCTCCAGGCTGGCACGAGCTGGGGCACTGCATGACCTGCTCCTGTCCTGTGGCTTTGGGAGTGGGAAACAGTGATAAGGACACATTTACCTTCCCAGAGTGACACACAGCCATGGCTGCCGCACACCTGGGACAGCAAACTGCCCCAGAGGCACCCAAATATCTCGAGGCCCAGCTCCCCTCCTTGCTGTTCCAGCCAGGCCCCTGCCAGCTGGCACGGGCTCCCTGCTCCCACCCTCATGCCAGCTCCTCTCCCTGGGCTGCAAAGAGCGTGGCGAGGAGATGCCAGTGTCACTTAACTGGGAAAGATGTGTAACGTGCCATGAGCTGGAAGCAGGGAGCCCAGAACTGGGCTGCATTGTGCTTTACTTGGGGATGTGCTTGTGACACCTTGAGCCTGCTCAGCAGCCTGGCTTTGGGAAACTGAGCCGTGGGATGAGAAGGTCAGGGACTGAAAATTCTGTAAGGATGGCAGGAAGGGCTGGAAGGGAAGGAAGACACACACCCTACTGAGAAATGTGGGCTTGAGGGGGAATTTTTGAGCCATGGCAGGAAGAAGCCAGACCCAAGGGAAGGTATCACGGTGGATTGCTGCAGTAAGGTGGCACCTTGGAAGGCAGGGAGCAGGACCAGGAGGAGCTCCAGGACAGGGACATGGAGCAGTGTCCCAGCCAGGCACTCAGCCTGGAGTGAGGAGCACCAGAGGGCCAAAGCCGGAACTGCGGGAGAGGCAGTGTGAGTTCATGCTGGGTGCCTCCCCTGGCTGCCCAGCACCTCTCATGTCACCTTTCCAGGGGTCTGGCACAGAGCAGCTCCCTGGCAAGCTCCAGGTAAAGCCAAGCCAGGTCTTGGGTGAAAAGCACAACACCAGAGTGGGAATCCAGGACAACTTTCTTTATTGCTACCAGAAGGCTTTCATCAGTACAATGGCTCTGGTTACAATACCTTCCTCAGGGCTGTGGAGAGAGCTTACAGTCGGGACAGGGTGTTCTGAGAACAGGGTGTCACACGGAGGAGACGTGTTATAGGGCAGACTCTTGGTTAGAAGTTACATCAACACAAAACTCAAGGGTTGGGGTGTTTTGTTTTGGTTCTGTGCCTGATGATGACACATTCCAAACCTCAGGTGTCCACAGCTGCCCCGGCACCTCACCCAGCAGTGCTGGGGAATGTGCAGGGAGAACCGGGCTCTACACAATTCAAGGGTTACATCTGATGGAGAGAACCAAGCCTTGGTGAGAATCCACACTCAGTGCTACACAGCAAGAAAAAAATGGTTTCATTCTAGTGATGCAAAACCCAGTAACTGCTTTCTGTGTTGGGACAGACAAAATGGTCTAACAGGGAGAAGTCTCTGTGCAAGACACAGAGCACCTTCACACTCCTGTGGGAATTACTGAAGTGTGGACCAGCTTGCAAGCATTGGTTTGGGTTTTTTCCCTGCCTAATCTTTTGTTTAAATCCAGTTTTTCAATATTATCACGTTTAAACACCCAGCTATTAATGAAAGAGGTTTTCTGTTTAGAAGGGCAAAAGAAAGCTGTGGTGGAGGTGGGGCAGGACAGAATGTCATGCACGAGACTGGCTGAGAACTAAAAGAGGAGCAGGCAGAAAGGGAGCAAGGAGCGGGTGGGAATGGGATCAGAGAGGCATTAGTTGGTTGGGAAACCTGGAACAGCTCCGCAGGGCTGATGTGTGAGCTCTCGGATGTGGAGAATGGGTTACAACACACAGGAGCAGAAAAACAGTGGAACCGACAACACTAGAAAGGAACAGGTTTTTGCTACTTTTTTTGTTTGGTTTTTGGGTCTTTTTTTAGATTTTTATACTTTTTTGTGTTTTTAAGTGCTTAAATAGTGGAACTATAATTAGCCGCACAAGAAATAAAATTCAAAAAAGGGTCGGGATTTTTTTTTTTCCTGGTTTTCTTTTGGCTCCCTTCAGTTCAGCCTGACAAGGTACGGCCCCTTCTCACCCCGCTGAGGCCACGGGTTGCCAGGTCCCGTGGTGGCACCGGCAGCTACATGACAGACACCGGCTGCAGAGGGGGACAGGGGGACACGCTGCCCTCCTGCCGCGAGACGTCGGCGCCGCAAACGGAGCCCACGTTCTCCAGGGCCACCGCCTCCGGAGCCAGCTCTTCGTTGTACAGGCGCTTGATGCCGTCGTAGAAGTCGTCCACTTCCATCTCTTCCACCTTGCGCTTGGCGGAGCCTGCCTTGCAGCCGCCGGCGGGGGCGGGCGGGCGCGGGCAGAGCGCGGCTGTAGCTGAGACGGGCGCTTCTGGCCGGCCGTTGTCCTGGGACAAACCCGGCCCTGGGACAGAGGAGGGCTGGCGGTGGAACGCTCCTCTGTTACAGGTCACCAGGGTCTGCTGGAGGGGACTGTAGACATATACAGAGTTGGGCAGCAGAGAAGGCTGCAGAGTGGAAAGGTGATGTGCCACCAGCTCCCGGCAGTGGATCAGCTGCGAGCTGTCCATCTGGGAAGACAAGCAAAGGTACCGCGGCTGTGGGATCGCCGGCGGGGTGAGGAGAGGACGTGGGCTCCCAGCACCCTGGCCACCTGTGTGCCTCACTTGCCAACTACCGCGGTGACTTCCCAAGATACACCCCCTGCTCCTTCCTGCACCCTGTGGGACTCGTGGGGGGGAGCAGGCACAACTTTGAGATACTGAAGGATTTCAGGGCACATGGCTCCTGCCCCTGTCACACAGTGGAGGCGGTCAGGACTGAGACCTGGCAGCACTGTCCCTACAGCTGTCCCCCCAGGCTGAGGCCCAGCCATCCCCACAGGAGCGGAACAGCAGGCAGCCATCGGCAGCAAGGAACCACAGAGCCCCAGCTGGCCAGGAGCACCGAGCAGGATGTGCCCCCGCCCCTCCCCGCTCCGTGCGTGCTCCCTCCTCACCTGTGCCTTCTGGAGCAGCTCGATGATGAGAGCCAGCCAGTCGGGGAGCAGCTTCTCCAGCTCCAGGCTGACGATGGCCAGCGCCAGCATGGAGCCCTTGAACTGCAGCAGCTGGAAACAGGCCATGCAGTGCAGCAGCTGCTTGGTCAGCGCCGCCACGTGCTGCGAGGGGCTGGGCGTGGGCAGCAGGGCCAGGAGCTGCGGCCTGCTGGACACCGCCACGGCGTGGAACTGCGGGACACAAGCACAGGGGG